TCATTTTACAAACAGTGATTAGAATACATTAATTTTGGAGTGAGACAAATCTGTGTTCAAAATTCTCTGCCACTTACTACTATTACTGTGACTTTCACTATAACTCTAAAATTAGTTCAAAACAAAACAAAACAAAAAACCTCTGCCACTTGCTACCTTGTAATTATAGTAAGTCATAATATTTAATCTCTTAGACCTCAATTTCTCTATCTAACTATGGAATATATGGCCTACACTAAAAAACCATTAGGGGAAAGTTGCCTCAGATTAGAGCACCTCAAAAATAGGTCTTCTTGGCGCTGGGACTGTGGCTCGAGYAGCACATGCGAGGCCCTGGGTTTGATCCTCAGCACCCCATAAAAATAAAATAAAGATATTGTGTCCAACTAAACTAAAAAATAAACATAGAAAAAAATAGGTCTTTTCCCCAAAAAAAGATATGCTACAGTATGTTAATTAGAAAAGTGTAATATAATGTCCCATCACTCTAAACACCTTGCTTACTCTTGGTTTAGCTAGAACTCCACATCTAATCATTTCTAATTTCCTAGGATATGTCATTCACTGTTCACTTAGCACAACCTTATAAAACACCATTGCAAACCACAAAAGCAAATACCCACCCCTCCAGAAATAAAATGCCATGGTCACTCTGATCATTTATTTATTCTCTTTCATTCATCTCATATTTCTATCTTTAATCATCCACCTATTTTACTTATAAATTCATTCACCTATTCCTTAAGAAGCTCACTCTGGGCCTGGTACAGTGGGGCACACCTGTAATCCCAGAAGCTCAGGAGACATAGGCAGGAGAATCACAAGTTCAAAGCCAGCCTCAACAATTTAGCTAGGTGCTAAGCAACTCAATGAGACCTTTGTCTCTAATAAAATACAAAATAGGGCTGGGCATGTGGCTCAGTGGTTGAGTGCCCCTGAGTTCAATTCCGGGTACTGTTCCACCCCCCAAGCAGCAGCAGCTTACTCTGGCAAGAAAGTTATGCATGCAGATTCTAGTAATCTCTGTGTCAAAGGAAGTTAGACTAAAGAGACTTCTTTCAAGGGCTCCTGAAGTCAAAACTATTTTCATAATAAAAGTAAGGCACTACAACCAGAAGAATGAGAAATTATACTCCATTTATGTATGATATGTCAAAATGCATTCTACTGTCATGTATAATGAATTCGATTAAAAATTAAAAAAGCATAAATCAGATGTAGTGGGATGCCTGTAATCCTAGTGAAGCAGGGGGCTGAGGCCAAGTTCCAGGCCATCCTCAGCAACTTAGCAAAACTCTTTCATAAAAAATAAAATGACGGAATGCAACACAGTGGTAAAACGTCCCTGGATTCAATGCTCAGTATCCTATCACACACTCCAAAAACAAAAAAAAAGGCTTTGACAATAAAAAATTAGTTGTATTAATTCTCAACATTTCAGCACACCTCTTTTAAAATATTCTATAACAAAAAAGTATTCAAAAGCACTTGTGGTGCATACTAAAACAAAGGTTGATTAAAAAAAACACTTGTATGATTACTATGAGAGTTAAATTAGATTTTTTTTCATGGAAAAACATTTCTTATTTCTTACATGAATGTAAGCCATGGTTATTAAGATCTGATGTAAAAATTAGAATATTGAAAACTTTTGTTCTACACTGAGCTCATCAGCTTCCTAATTCTTTTTTTTTTTTTTTTTAAGAGAGAGTGAGAGAGGAGAGAGAGGAGAGAGAGAGAGAATTTTTAATATTTATTTTTTAGTTGGCGGACACAACATCTTTGTTGGTATGTGGTGCTGGGGATCGAACCCGGGCCACACGCTTGCTACCGCTTGAGCCACATCCCCAGCCTGAGCTTCCTAATTCTTAAAAAGACAAACCTGATGAGATGGATGGAAAGAGTAACAACTGTATAATTAAATGTGTCAGCATGTACATCTGTAAAATTCAGTGAACAATTTCCAAATGACCAATGCATGAGGTTATAAAATCATTCATGAGTAATGTTATGAAGTTTGAGATAGAACATTACTAGAACACATAAGTTCAAAGATGTTAAATCTCTAAATTTCGTAGTCCCCTAGCTTTTCAACAAGTTGCCTATTTTGTCTCTTGATTAAAAATTACATTATTAGTACTATTATATCTTACTTCCTGGATTAACTGCCACTATATAAGCAATATTAAAATAATATAATACAAATGATTTTTTTTTCCATGCTTTGAATTGGATTCCTAACAATACTTGCTCTGAGTTATCTATGAGCTAGTAGACTGGAACAAAGTACTATGTAACATATAAACAGAAAGGGTCTCCTTATCTGTGCCCCATATTTAAGGAACACACAAATATCCAGCCTCTTTATTGGTTATTTTTAGGTTTAACTTCTCCACACTTGTTTATTCATATTCAAACAACCACATTTACTGAGGGCTATTATATGCCAAATAACCCAAATACAAAGACAAAAATATTTTACTATAGACTAATAAAAAGACAAAGAGCCAAAATACAAAATGATGTGCTATAAATAGAAGTATCAAATAAGCTTTATAGAAGCTTACAGGGGAGAGAATGCCAGAAAAGGCTTCCCAGAAGAGGGTAATCCTGGAACTGAAAATGTTACAGAAAACATTCCCCACTCACAGTTTAATATTTAAACTTCAGTTCTGTTCTGCTCTTATGAACTACTAGTTTTTAGTTTTTGCTTTGTCATATAAACAACTGCAAAGTGATAATCTGATGTAAACAGACCAAAGTGGCAACGAATTTCATCAAATTTTAATTGAGTCAAAAATGAATATATCAAAGTTCCCAGTACCTCCATACTGCTCAACTTCTGTTTTGTTTATTTTTGTAGTTGTAGATAGACAGCATGCCTTTTTATTTTATGTGTTTATTTATTTATTTGTGATGCTAAGGATGGATCCCAGTGCCTTACACATACTAGGCAAGCACTCTGCCACTGAGGTATATCCCCAGCCCAAACCTCTTTTGCTTCTCACTTTTTGGAAACTGACTCTGTGTTAACCCAGGATAGCCTCAAAATCTGGGGTTCAAGCAATCATCCTGCCTCCCCTCCCCCCATCCTGGAGTATCTGCTGGCAGGCAATGCCACACCCGGCCTGGTTTTGCTTTTTTTTTTTTTCTTTCTATTTTTAATATTCTAACTTCTTCCACTACTAAACACTGTCACAATTATTAGAGTTTCTTTGTAAACTTCTGTCACTGGGAATGATCACTGCTCCTTTCTTTCTTCCCATTAGAAATTAAGTCCAGTAGTTTAATTCCCTGGATTTATCCTACTACAATATTTCACTTTGAATTCTGCACCCCAGAGGAGCTATGAGTTCTACAGTACAACTACAAAGTGATTGCTGCCTGGTTGTCTAAGTCTCGTAAATATTCCCTGCTGTCTATTCCAGTACTGTTGTTAAATCACTAATTGGACTCTCTCCTCTGGTTCCCCAACAGCTGACATAAGTCAAAAATTCAAATTTAGCACGGTAAACTAGCCAACGACCTTTATAAATTCATTTTCAATATATAGCATCACTGACGTTCTTTAACCTTTTTCTTTTTTAAAATTCAGCTCTCCAAAGTCTAGGTTAAGCAGAAACTAATGAAGTTTCTACCTTATCATGAACAGAAACATTATCTACTAATTTGAAAACTATGTCTAGTAGCTACCGAACGCCTTTGGACTCCCTCACGCCACCAAACAGAATACCCAATAATGGAAGACGGGAACATACAGGAAGGGTATACTAGTAGAATATTTTCTAATTTCTCTCTCTCTTTTTTTTTTTTTTTTTTACTCTGGACCTCGCTTTCTTCTTCATCTATAAAACTTGCATATAATGTAGAATAGGAGGACTGAAGTAATTTATAAGATCCTTATGGCTATAATAATCCAGAAATCCAATCTTTCTCCTCAATCCGGCTTTACACAAAACATGTGGAACCACAGAAAAGAACCTTTTACTCCACTGGACCGACTCTAATTCTCAGATGATGGCTTGAAAAGCTAAAGAACTTCCGACTCACCCGCCTTAACCCTTGGGCTGCCCCCAAGTCTCCTACCGAGAAAGCAAGACAAATAAAGTCCATCCAGTAGGATCATCAAAGAAGTGCAAGGAAGGCCATATAGTGGTTTCGAAGCTCTGCCCCCGCAAAGGCCGGCAAATTGCGGGCTTCTAATCGCCGCTCAGTGAATGAATGAGTACGACCAGATAAGTGGACGCTCCTTCAGCTTGGGATGCCACTGGAGACCCTGGGCCTAGACCCCAACGGGGTGCATTTCAACCCTGTGCCTGAGAAACCCAGACACCCGGCCGCAGGGTCGTGGGCCCGGCCCCGCCCCCTCCCTCCAGCCAGAAGGTGCGCGCCCCGGCGCGAGACTTCGGAGCTGAGGGCCTGGGACGCCCCGCGCACTCGCCTTCCCAGAGAGGAGGAGGAGCCTGCGGGTCCCCGGCCGCCGTCGCTCCAGCTCCCACTTACCGCGGTGCGTCGGGGGAGGGAGAACGTCAGGAGTGAAGGTCCAGGCCCGTCCGCCACTCGCCGCTCACAGAGCAGCGCGCGGCCGCCAGGAAACCGTCGCCGCCGCCGCCACCACCGCCGCTACCGACCGCCGCTTCGGGCGCAGCGCGCAGAGGGCCCGACTGCGTCACACGCCGTCCGCCGTCAGAGGCTCGCTCTGAACGCTCCGCCCTCGTCTTTTGCGCATTTGCAGACAAAGCTGCCACTCTAGGTCCGCCCTGTTACTCATTGGGCAATGAGTCTTTTGAAACCGAACGTGAGGGCGGTCTTCGGGAGAAGGAGCTGGGGGAAGAGGCGGGGCATGAAGACTAAGGGGGAGGAAAAAGGGAGGAGCGATGGGAGGGACATGGAGTCCCACCCCTCCGCCGCGGCGGTTGGCTGAGAGAGAGTCGTGATGTCACAGGGCTCCTCGAAGTGGATTGGTGAGTGGCTAGATTGGTGTTCACAGGCTGGGGTGTAGAAAAAAATTGGTGACGCCATACCAAGACCCCGCCCCCTTCTTTGGAGCGGAGAGACTTCTACTGCGGAAGCTCGGGCCAATCAGGAGGAAGGCCCCAGGATGGCTTGGTAACTATTCTACCCTTCCCTTGCCCCAGTCCGCAGGCGGTGATGGGAAAGCTGCTTGGTTGCCCTGTTCGCGGTTCCTAGCCATACCACGTGCGGAGCTGGAGGACCCTCCTAGGAGCTCCTCTGTCCGCATAGCTTGTCTGTGGCTGCTCTGAGGCCCCAAATTCAGATCCGTTTCTGTCCTGACCCATGCCAGTGCAGCATACTCATTTCCCTCTGAATTCCTAAGATAGACCTGAGCATTAGAGATGCCCCATAGTAATAGTTCACTGTAGGGCCTGATAAAAATAGACGATTCTTGGAATGTCCTTTCCAGCTACATTTTGATAACTCCTACTTATTCTTAAAGGCCTGGTTCAATGTTCCCAGCTCCTCTGACATATGCGTGCTAACTCCTTGCAGCTTGTTGGGCTAATTCTTGGGCAGGCCTTTGTAGTCCCTTGTCCCTTTTTGTGTACTTATTATTTTCCCGTATTTTATGTCAATCCCTAACCCTCACCTCTCCGTAGATCATAGCTGCATTTTCTTCTTTTTTGGTGTTAGGGATTTAACCTGGTATTGAACCCAGGGGTGCTTTACCACTGGCTGCATTCTCAGCCCCTTTTAATATTGAAGCAGGGTCTCACTAAGTTGCTTAGGCCTTCGCTAAATTGCTAAAGTTGTCCTTGAACTTGTGATCCTCCTGTCTCAGCCTCCTGAGCCACTGGGATTACAGGTGTTGCCAACTGCACCCTGCAAGAGCTGCATGTTCATCCTCTTGGTGTCCCTTTCCTCCTGGGACCTAGCCTAAAGTAGGCACCTGATATTACCAGATCGAGGGGTGGGTATGTTCTTAGAAACTAGACCTCTCCAGGGCTGAGGGTCTCACATAGAACAGCAGGAGCTATGCTAAAAAAAGCAAAGTGTATGCACACTGCCTCTCCACCACCTCCTGAAATATCAATACAAAATTAAAAAACGATTTGCCAAAAACTTAGATTAATTCCTGGGAGTTTTCAGTAGTAGCAAGGAATTAGAAATTATTTGTTGAAAAGTGAAGTGGTTGTAAAGATGGAATAAGAAGAAACAGGATACTTTGTAGATGTTCAGTAGATGTTTGAAGGAAGAAAAAAGTTAATGTGTGGATGGCCAAATAGTAAGGCTAGTTTAAACTTCTATTTGCAGCCACCTCCCAACTCCTTTGTCCAAACACCCCTGCTTTCCTTTCATCTTTATTTACTTTTGCTCTACATTAGAAAAGTCATTAGTGCTGGGCTTATGGCTCAGCAGTAGAGTGCTCACAGCTAGAATGTGCGAAGCCCTGGGTTTGATCCTCAGCACCACATATAAATAAATAAAATAAAATAAATGTATTGTGTCCACCTACAACTAAAAACAAATGTTAAAAAAAAAAAGTCATTAGCACTTACTGGATAGTCACAGTAGCTTCATCTCTGCTGTCCTGAAACTTTGATTTCTTGTCCTTTAATCCTCAAACCCAACTCTATTTAAGCTTCAACTCTAGTTTTTGTCTGGTGCCTAAGGCCATGCACACAGAAGGTGTACTATAGATTTTTTGGTGAATGAATGAGTGAATTGGTTTCCTTAGTAGGGGAAACTAATAGAGACTGGTGAAGTTTGGAGTCTCAGAACCTTGGGTTTTAATCTGGGTCAAGCCATGTATTAGTTGTATGAACTTGGGAAAATTTCCTAACCTCCTGATCCTGATTCCTTTTCTGTAAAATGGGAATAACAATTTTGCTTGCATCACAGGGTTATTGTGAGAATTAAGCAAGATAATATGGGTAAAGCCCTTAGCATGATACCTGGTGCATGATAAGCCCTCAATAAGGGTTACTTTTTTTTTTTTCTGGTTATCGGATGATTGACCCCAGAGGCACTTAACCACTAAGCCACATCCTCAGACCTTTCTTATATTTTAGTTAGACAGGATCTCACTAAATTGGTTAGAGTGTCCCTAAGTTGCTGAGGCTGGTCTCAAACTTGTAATCCTCCTGCCTCAGCCTCCCCAGTTGCTAGGATATATAAAATTAAGCACTATAAAAGTAAAGGAGCTAGACAGGGTGGTGTCCCCTTAGAATTCCAGCTACTCAGTCTGGAAGGGTGATGGTTCCAGACTTCTTTTTCTTTTATTTATTTTTTATTTTTTGGCAGTGCCAGTAATTAAACTCCGGGCCTCATGCCTTTTTAAAATTCATTTTTTATTTTTTTGTTCTATTTTTTTCAGATTTCTTATGTGGTGCTTTGGACAGAGCAGCAGAGCTGGAGTCAAACAGAGCTAAGTTAAAATCCTAGTTCTGCTAGTTTGTAGAGCTTGCACAAACTATTTAATGGTTCTGTGCCCTAGTTTTCTTTTCCATGAACTGGATACAATACTTCATATTTTATAAGTTAATTGTGAAGGTCAGATGAAATGATGGGATTTGTAAAAAAAACTGAGCATGTTTGGCTCATGGTAAACACTCAGTAAATGTTGACTCCCTTTCTCTTTCCCTGAACTTGATAAGAAAGGGTGAGGTTGATAAATAGCATATAATTGGAGTTTTAGAAATCTTGAGTACATACCTTTGACTTTTTTTTTTTTTGGTACTGGGGATTGAGCCCAGTGGTGCTTTATTGCTAAGCTACATCCCCAGCCCTTTTGAGACAGGGTTTCACTAATTTGCTTAAGGCTTCATTAAGTTGATGAGTCTGGCCTTGAATTTGGGATCCTTCTGCTTCAACCTGTTAAGCCAATGGGATTACAGGCTTGTGCCACATTTTGTTCTTCCATTAAAACAGTTAATGTCCGGGCACTGTGGCACATGCCTGTAATCCCAGAGGCACAGGAGGCTGAAGCAGGAGGATCCTGAGTTCAAAGCCAGCCTCAGCAAAAGCAAGGCGCTAAGCAACTCAGTGAGACCCTGTCTCTAAATAAAATACAAAATAGGACTGGAGATGTGGCTCAGTGGCCAAGTGTCCCTGAATTCAATCCCCCCTACCCAAAAAACAGTTATTGGACATTTGGGTTGTTTCTATTTTTAGCTATTATGAATAATGTTGCTTTAAACATTGTGTACAATTTTTTTTGTAGTCATATGTGTTCAATTCTCTTGCATCTATCCCTAGGAATGGAATTGCTAGTAATTTGTGGTTCATTTTTTCCCACATGGGTCAAATGCTTTCTTTCTTTTTTTTTTTTTTAAAGAGAGAGTGTGAGAGAGAGAGAGAGAGAGAGAATTTTTTTTTAATATTTATTTTTTAGTTTTTTCGGCGGACACAACATCTTTGTTTTTGTATGTGGTGCCGAGGATCGAACCCGGACCGCACGCATGCCAGGCCAGCGCGCTACTGCTTGAGCTACATCCCTAGCCCCAAATGCTTTATTTCTGAATTTTACATGTTGATTCTTAAAATCGCTTTTTTAGTTTTTGTAAAATATTTATTGAAGGTAAAGTTAAAATAACATAAAAAATATGCACTATGAAAGTAAAGGAGCTGGGCAGGGTGAATTCCAATTCCCCATTGGAATTCCAGCTATTCAGGGGGCTGAGGCAGGAGGATTGATTTGAGGTCAGACTGGGAAACCCTGTCAAAAATAAAAAGGGCTGGAAGGGTAAAGGAGGACCACTGGGGATGTCACTCTATGGTAGAGTATCCCTGGGTTTGATCCTCAGTACTGCAAAATAAATAAATAAATAAAGATAAATTTAAAAAATAAAAATGAAGGGCTGGGGATGCAGCTTGTGGTAGAGCACTTGACTAGCATTCCCAAGCACCACACCAATAAATAAATAAATATACTTTTGGCTGGGAATGTAACTCAATGGTAGAGTACTTCCCTAGTTTTGTTGAGGCCCTGGGTTCAGTCCCCAGCACTGCCAAAAAAAGAAAAAAGTGAACAATTCCAGTAGCATTTAATTTAATACATTCACAATATTTATGCAGCTACCATCTCTATGTAATGTATAACATTTCATCATTGTAAAGCTAAACCCTTTTTCTCACTAAGCTGTATCTCCCTGTTCCCTTCTTTCTCCAATGTATAACCATCAAATATGTACCTTGTCTCAATGGATTCAATTACTCTGAATATTTAATATAAATGGAATCATGCAATGTGTGACCTTTTGTGTGTGGCTTCTTAGCATGTTTTCAAATTCATCTGGTTGTAACATATACCTACTAGTACTTCATTCCTTTTCATGGATGAATAATATCCCATGGTGTGGACATACTATATTTTGTTTATTCATTCATTTGTTGGTGAATATTTGGGGTAATTCCATCTTTTGGATATTGTGAATAGTCCTGCTATAAAGATGTGTATAGTTTCCTGTTTAAGTACCTTTTTTCAGTTCTTCAGGGTATATTCCTAGGAGTGGGATTGCAGAGTCATATGGTAACTTTATGTTTAACTTTCTAGGAACCACCAACTGTTTTCCAAATTGGCTGCACCATTTAACATTTCCAATTAGCTATATATGAGGGGTCTAGTTTCTCCACATCCTTGCCAACACTTATTTTCCTTTTTTTTTTTCCCCTTATTATAATCAACCTAAGGATGTGTAGTAGTAGACTGGATCTTGTTAAGTTGCTTAGGGCCTTGCTGAGTTGGTGAATATGGCTTTGAACTTGTGGCTCCTCCTGCTTCAGTCTCTCCAGCCTCTGGGATTACAGGGGTGCCCCACCAGGCCCAGCTCATTGTGGTTTTGATATGCATTTCCCTAATGATGTTAAGAATGCATGAGATGGGCTAGGGGTATAGTTCAGTTGGTAGAGTGCTTGCCTTGCATGCACAAGGCCCTGGGTTCAATGACCAGCAAAAAAAAAAAAAAAAAAAAAAAGAAGAATGCATGTGGTAAACATGCCATGGTGGTGCATGCCTGTAATCCCAGTGTTTTAGGAGGCTCAGGCAGGAGGATTGGGAGTTCAAAGCCAGCCTCAGCAATTTAGCAAGGCCCTAAGCAACTTAGTGAGACCCTATCTCTAAATAAAATATAAATAATGGCTGGGGATGCAGCTAAGTGGTTAAGTGCCCCTGAATTCAGTCCCTGGTACCAAAACAACAAGAACCATAATAACAAAAATGAAGAAAAAAAGAATGCATATGGTAATTTCTAGGGAGATCACTAAAATAATAATACCCGGAAAAAATGGAATAATCCAAAAGAACTCAAGAAGACAGAGGGATAAATGACTAAAAAAAAAACAACAGTGAAAATATTTTCGTGCTAATCAATACCCTTTATAGGATGGGTAGAGTTCTCTCAGAAGGGAAAAATAAGAACATTCTAGGCCACATAAACTGAGGAAGCAAAAGGGCCAGGAAAGAATGTAGCATATCCAGGAATACAAACTGGAAGTGAAAGAGGGAACAAAGAAAGTTCTRTAGAACAATGAAAATTCAGTAACTGAATCAGGGTTCTGGAAGTAGATAGGTGAGTCTTGGATGGATAGTTTAAAGCCATCCAAAGAAGACGTCTTGGTCATTTAAAAGATCTCTGAGAAGAATGAAGAGTAACAAATCCTCAACCCAGGAAGAGACTGATTTTCTTAAGGCTTCCAAGGAGGTGAGGCACATTGTGGCCTGAAGTTGGATGTCTTTTTAGCACTGTCTGCATCTCTGCCTCTTCACTGTCCTTAGCCTTGCTCCTCACTTTGTGCCCCATTCCTAGAAGTTGTTCTTCAAATGCCTTCCTGTGGTTCTTAAATCTTTGCTTGATCCATGTAAATACTGCCCATCCTTCAAAGCGCACTTCAACTGGGTGTGGTGGTGCATACCTGTAATATCAGCTACTCTGGGGGCTAAGAGAGGAGAATCAAAAGTTCAAGGCCAGACTGGAGTTGTGGCTCAGTGGTAGAGTGCTTGCCTCACATGTGTGGAGCACCAGGTTTAATTCTCTCTCTTTTTTTTTTTTTTAAGAGAGATAATTTTTAATATTTATTTTTTAGTTTTCAGCGGATACAACATCTTTGTTTGTATGTGGTGCTGAGAATTGAACCCGCGCATGCCAGGCGAGCGCGCTACYGCTTGAGCCACATCCCCAGTCCCCAGGTTTAATTCTCAACACCACATGAATAAATAAAATGAATGAAATAAAGGTATTGTGTCCATCCGTAACTAAGTTCAAGGCCAGCCTCTACAACTTAGTATAGATCCTGTCTCAAAAAGAAAAAAGGGCTGAGATGTGGGTCAGTGGTAAAACATCCATAGGTTCAATCCCCAGATCAGGAAAAAGAAAGAAAAATGAAACACTTCAATTAAATTAAATATTTTCTGAGTTCCTACTATATAGCTATGCAAGGAATGTATGAAATGGGTGGGGTTTCCATCTTTAAATGAGTTCCCAGAAAAGTGGGGAAAGGGACAAAAACAAATTATTTTGCTACTTTGTGGTCAGAGCCCTAATAAAGTTTGGTAAAAGGCACCTAATGCTGTGGGAAGATCATGAGGTTTGGGGTTTGAGGTTGGGGTGGTGGGGGGAGATACAAAGAAAGTTGAGTAAAATTTCATGGGAGAGTGAAGTATAACTAGAATATAAAATCTGTGCTTGAAACATTGGATGGCCAGTTCATGAAGAACGTTAAATACCACACTGAAGAATTTGCTCTTATCCTAAAAGCTATACCGAGTTGGGGCTGGGGATATAGCTCAGTTGGTATAGTGCTTGCTTCGCATGCACAAGGCCCTAGGTTAAATCCCCAGCACCACACACACACACACACACACACAAAGGCAAAAGCTATACAGAGTTGCTAAATAATTTATTTGTAACAAGGGGGGAATATGGTCAGATCTGTATTGTAAGAAGACCTCGTCTAGCTGTAATGGGGAGGATGATAGACATGAAGACAAGGAGACCAGTGAAGGAGATCCCCTATAGGAAGCTTTCCTTGACAACTACTTCCATATTCTGATCCTCTCATCTGCCCCCCACATCTACACTTCCACCTTGCTACTAGAGGTGGAACATCATTGTGAACATTTGGTCTCCTTGGGAGTGTGTAGTCTGTATGTGTGGAAGGGAGAGTGGTACAGTGATTGTGACTAAAACAGACTCCAGACAAACCTCACCAGGAGGGCAAGAGACTCCAGGAACCCTCAAGCGCAGCAGCAGCTACTTGGACAATGGACAAAGGCCAGTTCAGCAAACACTGAATGCCCACTGAATAAGGGCAAGAGTAGAAGCTTAAGTGGTCGTTCAACTTCTTTAGCTATAAAATGTATTTCATTAAATTTACCTCACCAGATTTATTGAAGATCAAATGAAAGAGTGGACATAAAGTCCCTGGCACATAGGAAGAACCCATTCTTCCTTTTAAACTGACAGGAGAAGAAATATATTCAGAGTGAATCAGTGACAGCCAAGGTCAGATCATTCAGAGAAGGCTCAACCAGGATGAGTTCAAACTGCAGCTCACACATCTGGTTGTAATAACCACCATGCATTTGGTGCCTTCCACATGCCTGGCACATTGCTCTGATTCTCACTACAATTGTATGAAGTAGATAGTCCTAAAACAATTTTACAATGGAGAAACTAAGGCTCAGGGCTAAAAGGGCCCACATTGTCCAGGTCACCTGAGAATTAAAGGCAAGATTAGAGAATGTCAACAAGGTTCAGGCAGATGGGCCAGAAGCAGGCATATACAGAGTGAAGGAAGGCAAGGAGGATGACACAAAGTTCTAAGACAGAAAACCAAAATCTATTTGTTGAAATCAGATGGAAGTGGTTCTTTTAAGTAGAGTTTTAGTAATAATTTTTCTCTTGGCCCTAACTCTTAAGTACAGGGTAGTGGGCTGGGATTGTGGCTCAGTGCCTAGCATATGTGAGGCCCTGGGTTCAATCCTCAGCACCACATAAAAATAAACAAAATAAAGATATTGTGTACAACTAAAAAATATTTTTTTTTTAAAAAAAAGAACAGGGTAGGGAGAATTTAAAGTCTTATTTTAGAACAAGATACCTTCCCTCCAGGTTTGAAGTCTCAATGAGTGAGTCTAAGATACGTCTGTGGGTGCCCTACAAGTGTCTACCACAGAGAGGGCCTGGCATGAATGAATAAGACTAAATGCATGAAAAAGAGTTCTGGCAAGTTGATAAATTTGAGCCTGTCTCCCATTCTGCAAAGTGGCAATTATCTTATGGGACCAGCAGTATATAGTGATTGAGGGAATGACCTCAGGTGCCAGGATCCTGGTTCTGATATTTACTAGATGAGTAGGTAAGGTACCTTCTGTTTTCCATTGGAAAATGGAGATGTTAATAGTGTCTACTTCACAGGATTTTTATGAAGATTAAATAACACATAACATGTAGAAAAGTGAGTGGGATATAGTGGGTGCTCAGAATGTGTTAATTATTGCTTTGAGGATTTAAATGGGAAAGGTGTGATGTTAACCTTGTCTAGTTCAAAATTCTCCACGCACTGTTTTTGTTCCCTCATTCTCGGTTCTTGTGGAATAGAATGGTCTTTGCAAAGGGAGCCAGGGACCAGCTTGGGGAAGGAACCTGGGAGCTGATTTCTGGGATCAACCCTCTTTGTGGGAAGACCCAAGGCTTGGGCAGATCCTCTCTCCCTATGCTTTTGTTAGTCAAGACAGAGCGCCCTCTCCTGTTCAAATGTGGGAACATCACTGGCCCAGAATTTTCGGGGTGAGCCTCACAGGGTCTCAGAGCCTGCAAGGTGCTCTTCCCCAGAATGAAATGCCCCAACCAGCTCAGAGGAGCAAGGTTTGGAGGAGGGGCGCCGAAGCTGGGGCAAATCAGCCTTAATATTTCAGAAGGGCGAGACGGGATAATTCATTTAGGATGTGGGTGGAAGACAGGAGAAACTGGGGTCAGGGAATGACAGAAATCGGGGTCCTGTTCGATTAATTTTATGTTCTTTCAACAGGTGATGGGGACGCGGCCGAGAGGTAAGGTGACAAAGTAACTTATCCAGCACTTCACTCCTAGATGTCTGACTGCCCTCACGCTGCCAGAATTAGTGGCGCCGGGCGCGTGCCTGTAATTCCAGAAACTGGGGAAACTGAGGCAGGAGGATCGCAAGTTCAAAGCCAGCCTCAACAATTTAGCGAGACCATGTCTCAAAATAAAAWAAATAAATAAATAAAATAAAAAGGGCTGGGGATGTGGCTCAGTCGTTTAAGTGCCCCTGGGGTCAATCCCCGGTACCAACAAAATAAAACAACAACATTAAAGCAGAATTACTGGGGCCGATCAGGGCTGGAGGGACATGGTTTGTGGGGACGCCAGATTAAGGGGGAAGAGCCAGGGGTCTGGGTCCCTAGAAGCCGGGAGGAGCCCACAATCCGTGCGGGCGCAGTTTCCTCCCTAAGTTCCGCCCCGCGCTCACCGGCTCCGCCCTGCGCCCTTGCTGCTCCGGCAGGCCCCCAGCTGCTAGCCCCCGGCCCGTCGGGGCCTCCCTCCGGGAACCCCCAAGTTCCCGGACTGCGCTGGTGCGGCCTCTTTGTCACTAGTGCTTGGGTAAGTATAGGGATGGCTATGCCCGCCCGCGGGACAGCCCCATTTGGGAAGTTAGGCCACGCGGTCCAGCCGCCTCAGGAGCGGGCCGAATCTCTCGGGTCCTGGTGCCTGTCTTCTTCCCCGCACACTCGCCGTATCCCAGGAACTGCTTCTGTCCGGACGACCTGAACTGACCTCCTTCCTTCCCCTCCCCAGCGTGGAGCGCGGTGTGCAGGGATTAAGCTCTCCCTTCTTTACTCTGCAGGGCCTCCTGGTCAGGATTCCTCCCAGGTGCTGCGGATGGAGGCGTGGGGTAGCCTTGGAACCCCATAGACTAGTTTCGAATCTCAGCTCTGCCAGTTATTAGCCTGTGACTTTGAGTAAGTGTTTTTAACCATCTTAAACTCTTTTCCTCTTATGTAAAATGGAAACACAGCCTATAGTGCCACTTCATGGAATTATAGTGAGAACTGAAAGAAACAATGTATATTATTAAGTGCTGAACAGGGTGCTTATAGGCAGCCATTAAATGTGATGGGAGTGTCTGCTGAAAAAATCTCTAGGAACTTTGGATGTGAGGTAGGAATACTGTTAAGCAAGCAGTTTTCTACTAAGTAGTATGTGTGAGGAAGTTAAAGCTGTCTGGGGGGGGCAAAACTATAGGTAGTAAGCTCCCTGTCCAGAGGTGTGGAAGAGCAGTGTGACTAAATTGGAGAGCCCTTAAAAGTAATCTAAACCGTCTGATCTCCTCCTTGCACAATTGTGGAAACAGGCCCAGAGTGGCTAGTTGACTTGCCCAAGATCACACAGTTAAGAAAGAGGACAAACATACCTCCAAGACAAACTGGAACAGACTATCCTTTTTTGTTTTGTGTTTTTTGTTTTGGAAACTGTCCCTTGAAACAACCTCATCAACCCAGGGGTTCCTAAGGGACCTGGAGCTACAGGCTTTGAAGAGGGATGTTGGGAGGATGGAATAGGTATACTGCAACTGTAGAGTCTAGGTTTGGACTGGGTGGGGTGCTTTCCAACTAGGGCCCTGAGGGACTTCCAGGGCGTGTAGAGATGATCCAGGGAATGTGTTGGATTTGGGAAGGTACCTGAGCCACTTTAAACTCCTTGGGGAGATCCCTGACCACCTCCCTACCACCCAAGGGAAAAAGAAACTTGAGAAATTGGGACAGGAAGCCTGATTGGGCCTGGCATAAAGGGAAGGTAGATGAGAATACAGAAGCTTATCCACCTGGATTGTTCTGGAATGCCAGGATGCCAACCTAAACAAGTCAAAGTTCTTTCTGTGGGAGGGGCCAGGGAGAGTTAGGACTTGATTTGGCAAGGCCTTTGAGACCAGAAGGGCAGGTTTTTTTTTTTTTTTTTTTTTTTTTTTTTTTTTATGTATCTGGAACCAGCCCTAATTTGGCATCAAGAAGCCTAAATTCCAGAGGTAGTTTTGCTCAGGCCCAGCTTTGAAGAAGGGCCTTTCTCCCTCTGCATCTTATTTTCTCTATCACTACAGTGGGAACTGGGCTGATTGGCTAAACTCTGTAGGATTTGGTTTTTCTATTTCTTCCTTCTTTTCCCGCCCTCATTCCAGTCTTAATCTGAATTTTCTGCCCAGAGCTCTGACCCAGAGAGGAAGGGGTAAAGAAGAGGCAGAGTTGCCATGTGTAAACTTTTCAAGGGCTCTGCACCTCCCTACTGCTGGCTCTCCATCTACTTTCTACACAACCTTGAGTAGATACCTGCCTTAATTTTCCCTGCTATTAACTGATGGTGTTGTTGGTGTTCTTTTTAGCTATTATGGTTCTTGACCTTAGATACCCTTGTTTGAGGGAAAAATCAAGTCCTCTAGAGCTCTCCTGTAGTCTCAGGGAGAGGGTGGACTGAGAAGCCTCCAGAAGCTGACCAAGCAACTCTTTCCTGCAAACAGCAAGCCTAGACTAATGCCAGGCCTGATTCTGCAAAGCCTTTCACCCTCAGAGCACGTGAGGCAATAGGCAGGGACAAACAGGAGTTTGAGGTTCTTTCAGCTTCCATGGAGGCCCTAATGCTGTGAACTGCTTTGCCTGCACACAGAAGGGACTGAGGGTGCAGGAGGGCTCTGAGCCAGTGAGTGAAGCCTGGAGACTTGGCCTTAGGCTCAAAGGCTTGCGGGAGGAGATGGGCTATTTTGTCCACTGGTTGGTTGTAGAAACAAGCGACTAGATAAACTAGCTTCTGTAGTCCTAGAAGCCAGGCAGAGGAGTGAGGAGAAGGTCTCCCAATCTGTTCAAGCTTCATCCTACTCTAGATTGTGTTCATTGTCTTTCCTCTGAAATTGAGTTTGAGTGTTGTCTTGGGATTCTGAGTCAGTCTTCCTTATCCGTGGCGGAAGCTGTCCAAATTTAGGAAACATTATTCTCAGACTCCCCACCTGAACACAAGGGCTGACTTCACTGAGTCCCAGCCTGCTGTATGGGGCCCTGACAGCACACCACTCCATCCCCAGGTCTGACAAGATGTACCAGGTCCCACTGCCACTGGATCGGGATGGGATCCTGGTTCGGCTCCGCTTCACCCTGGTGGTCCTGGTTACGGTCTGCTGTCCATTTATCGCCTTCCTCTTCTGCATCCTCTGGTCCCTGCTCTTCCACTTCAAGGAGACAACGGCCACACACTGTGGGGTAGGGCTTCGGGGGCACTCATACCTCATATTCAGGCCCATCTTGATCTATTTTGGATCCTGATTTTATTTTGACAGGATTAACCAGCTTTCCAGTAGGGTCCATCAGATATAATGGACTTCTCGTGGGGGGGTTACCTGAAAATTGAGGTCTCAAGGATTAGACTCCCTCCACCTTCCATGAAAGTTCTAGGGACTGGGGCCACTGAAATTGTGCAGCCCCCAACCCCACAACTCAATCATTACTTCAAAGAAGACACATTCAGGAGCCCCAGTACTTTCTGGAATGTAAACAGAACAGGACTGGGCTAGAAGGCATTTTGGGTCTCATAGTGGCACTGTGGGCTTGTGCCTGTCTTTTTGAGAATGTGATTCTGTATATGTATGTGTGTGTGTGTGAGTGATATAATTATATATAATGGCTTTGAGTTGGGTATATATGTAAAAGAAACTCTTATCAGTGCCTGTCTATATGAAAACCCAATTAGTGCATGTATTATATGTTCTGGGGTGAGTCTCATGAGCAATTGTCATCTACCCTCTGGATGGGAATATGGGGTGTCTGGGCCATGAAGATAGGAGAGTTCTTTCTCTGTAGGATATCAGAATAAATAGGGTGAGACTTGCATTAACCGCTGCTATGTTCTTAATTCATCCACTGAGACCCAGAGCTTCAGTTACCCATGTCTAAAGTGAGGTTGAGCCAGGTACAGTGGCCCATAACTGTAATCCCAATGACTTGAGAGAATGAGGTGGGAGGCTTGAAAGTTTAAGGCCAGCCTCAGCAACTTGGTGAGACCCTGTCTCAAAATAAAAAGGACTGGGGATGTAGCTTGGTGGTAAAGCACCCCCAAGTTCAATCTCCAGTACTAAAAAATTAAATAGTGAGGTTGATGATTCCTGTCCTACTCCTTTCCAGGGCTAGTGTAGAGCTCTAGATATTGCAAAGATGAGAAAGCAGTTTGGGGAATGTGAAAGGTGAGGGTCAGGAGAATGAGAAAGAAGAGATTGTTAAAGAGGAAGGCGGGCAGGAGATGAAGTTAGCCTTGGGACTCTAGGTGAAGAACCAGGGCCTGAATATGGACTCTTGGGCTAGCTTCTGAGAGAGTTTTGAAGGCCCCCAGCTAACTTCCTTTATAGGAAGTTGTGGACCTATAAAGAGCATCTGCTTCAGAGAAAGAGGAAGAAGTAGCAGAGAGATCTGGTTAGGAGTTTGGGATGGAACCCATTTCTTTTGTTCATATGACATGAAGTTTTCCCTCAGATTAGTCAGTGGATAGACATGAGTCTTTGAGTATAGGCACTTAGTCTGATGAGACCTGATGCTAGGAGCTATCAGAAGGAATTAGGACAGGAAGGAAAGTGAGTGACCAGGTGATCTGAGGGAGAGGATTACTCTTTTCTGACTTAGTGCTTGTTTCAGATAATGCATCAGTGTTCCCATTACTCTGGCCAACTCTAGTTCATCCAGCAGAACTCTACCAAGATGTCTTCTCCTCCAGAAAGCCTTCCCTTTGGGACAAATTTATCACTCCCTTCCCTGGGTGCTTACAGTTCCCTGTGTTATCTTTCATATACTTATATATTTGTGTCTATCTTCCACACCAGACCAGGATCTCCTTGAGGGTAGATAATGCATCTGAGTCAGAATGTATTTATTGAATAAATGGATAGGACCCCCCCAACCTAATGTCACAGGAAAAGGAAGACATGGTATAAAGCAGTCATAGTCTGAAAAAATATATATAATATTTATACAGCATATAGCATTAAACTGAGTAGGCTGTTTGCACTGACACTTGTGGCTGGCCCTGAGGGCTAATAGGATAGATAACCTCAGCATACTTTGTATACCTATTACCTACTCTTGGCATACCTGTTGGGAAATTAAGGCATAGGTAGTTGCTGAAGGTTACCTGGTCATCTGGAGCAGTAGTAGGCCTGTTGGATCCCACTTTTCATATATGCTTTGGATTTCCCATCTGGAATATTCCAGGAGCCAAGCATGGTGGCACATGCCTGTAATTCCAGCAGCTCAGGAGTCTGAGTTAGGAGGATCACCAGTTCAAAGCCAGCCTCAGCAAAAGCAAGGTTCTAAGCAAATCAATGAGTCCTTGTCTCTAAATAAAATACAAAATGGGCTTGGGGAATGTGGCTCAGTGATCAAGTGCCCCTGAGTTAAATCCCCAGTTCCAAAAATAAATAAATAAAAATAAGAAAAATAAAATAAAGAAATGAAAATGGCTGGGAATGTAGCTCATTGTTAAAACTCCCTTGGGTTCAATTCCTCAATACTTCCCCCACCCCCAAAAGTAGAATATCCCAGGAATGGCCAAACCAAGAAGTGAAGAAAGCAACCTAGCACAACACATCTATAATTAACAACTTTTCCTCTGCTTGCACATGCCCTGTGATGGGGCTTCCTTCATTTTCAGGTAACCTTTCCTAAGGCGGCTTAGAAGGTAACAATCTCTCTCTCTCCTCTCTCTGTCTCTTTTTTTTTTTTGGTACCAGGGATTGAACCCAAGGGCACTTGACCACTGAGCCACATCCCAGCCCTTTTTTATATTTTATTAGAGATAGGGTCTCACTGAATTGCTTAGTGCATCACTAAGTTACTGAGGCTGGCGTTGAACTAATGATTCTCCTGCTTCAGCCTCCCTAGCTGCTGGGATTACAAGTATGTGCCACTGCACCTGGCAACAATCTCTTTCTTACAGTGAGCGTAGGATTTTTTTTTTCTTTTTTCCTTTCTGTAAGTCTCTGCCCTGACCCTGGCTCTGCTTTTTTTTTTTTTTGAGAGAGAGTGGGGGAGGGGAGAGAAATTTTTTTTTTTTTAATATTTATTTTTTAGGGGCTGGGGATGTGGCTCAAGCGGTAGCGTGCCCGTCTAGCATGCACGCGGCCCGGGTTCGATCCTCAGCACCACATACCAACAAAGATGTTGTGTCTGCCGAAAACTAAGAAATAAAATGTTAAAATTCTCTCTCCTCACTCTCTCTTTAAAAAAAAAAATTATTTTTGAGTTCTCGGCGGACACAACATCTTTGTTTGTATGTGGTGCTGAGGATCGAACCCGGGCTGCACGCATGCCAGGCGAGCGCGCTACCGCTTGAGCCACATCCTCAGCCCCCCTGGCTCTGCTTTGATAGCCATGGAACTACTCTCTTATTTTGGCTTTAAGTCAACCTGCAGAGATCGAGAAGACAACARTGGGGCTGTGTCGTGTATGTGTGTGGTGCTAGGTGCTGGTAATTGAACTCAGGGGCACTCTATTACTGAGCTACATCCCCAGCCCTTTTTTAAATTTTTTAAAAATTTAAGACAGGGTCTCACAAAGTTGCTAAGACTAGTTTTGAACTTCTGCCTCACCTTCCTGAGTCGCTGGAATTATTGGAGTGTGCTATAATCCTGGCTCCTTAGGAGGTCTTTTTAGATAGCATAACTATAGTTTCTTCAGGCAACACACACAGGATGTGGCCTCTAGGCTTCTCCCCACCCTGAACATATCCTTGGATTTGACCTGRTAACTATTTTCTCTGTGTTGGGCCTTGATCTGGGCATGGGACTTCAGGTAGCCTGGGTAGTATAGGTGAAAGTAAGACTATTCATTCCTATTACTGGCTGTTAGATATCTGTTGATGCAGCCTGAGTTGCCATTAGCTGTTTCCCCATAGGTATAGGCAGGACACTGATGTCTCATATTCAGATCTGTCTAGATTCTTTTGAATCCTGTGATTCTATTATTATTATCACAGATTAGCCAGTTCTCTAATGGGGCATAACATACATACTTGGTTTTGCTCCAGTCAAAAAGGGCCAGATTCCATTCTGTTTTTTCTCTTTTCTAGAAACCTGCATGCATCCCTGGTTACAACCCTCAGAGACGTCCCCACCCCCACCCAGGCAAAGAAGCTGCAGTGGGCTGACCTCAGCCACTATCACTTCTTAACCGATGCAGAGTGTTCCGGGATTTATGATGTGGCCTTGTTGATCCTGGGAAGGCTGTGTGCCTGGGCAGGCGTGGAGAACTGGGCTCTGTGGGCGGGAGGACAGGCCCTGAGGAGCTAGGGGTGGGACCCTCCTGTCTTAGAGCAGTCTCAGTCTGGCTAGAGCCCTCAACTCAAGCTCCGGATTCAAGCTCCGGATTCTTCAGCACCCAGTGTGAGTGTTGCTTAGTGAGCCCCCACCCCTACCCCATCCCTGATGAGCTGGACTAGTAGACTGGGGTCTCTTTAATGAAGGGGACTTTAATAAGTCCCCAGGGGAGATCTGATCTTAGGCTTTTTACAAAGCCATCTCTGTCTGCCTCAGAAGGGAGCCAGCTTGAGGGGTCATGGTGGTGGGGCATTAGCAGGTGCAGGGAGGGATAGGGAGAGGGAAAGCCCAGCTCTCTGGGTTTTTGTCTGACCTGGACAGAATCTTCCTGGGTCTGGCTCAGCACAGCAGGCTGATGCTGAGTGGAGAAAGTTTCTATGACCCTTAGATTCCCCCATCTTTGGGTTGGGTGACGTGGTCTTCTTAGATGGGGAGATGGGAGTTTGAACCTTCACAAGAACCCTGATATTCTGAGTTCAGGGTGCTGATGGCCTGAGGCTTGGCTCATTCAGAGCCTGGGGGTGGGAGGTCTGGTAGCCTATGGCCCCACTAAAATAGGTTCTAGGACACTCCCATTGTTCCTAGTTGAACTTGGGTGAGGAGGAGGAATGTGGTCAGACTGGGTGAGTGGGAGGGCTTTACCAGTTCAAGACAAGGGTCTTTTGTCCAGGTTACTTGGCTTGAAGGAAGTCTTGATGTAGAGCCTTAAGCTGTCCAGTGGCAAGAGATCTTAGTCCTAGTGTTTGATCCTGTATAGTTCTGGACCTCAGTCTTCCCTTCTGTGGGATGGGAATAATAACCTTTCTACTTCTGATCCTTCTCCTTAGTGACTGTGAGGATTGTGAGAGTGAGGTGAGTCATCAGAACTCCCAGGTCCTGTCCCCTGGAAGTTTCTATTGCCCAGGTTCTTCAAGAGGTGAACCTAGATTCTCAGTGTACCAGCGGATTCCCAAGAGTTGCTCCTGTCCCATCTCCCACTGTTCCTTGGCAGTCTTCCTTTTCCCCCTTGTGTCCTTTCTACCATTTCTGCTCTGGCTTTTCCCTATACTCTGAGGAACCAGCTCTGGAAAAGGCCCCCCTTTCCCAAGCCCAGATATTTCACCAGGCCCCAAGTTGTGTCCCTTGCCCTTCTTGGGCCACTTCCTACAGGATGTTCTCTGCGGCCTCCCAGCCCTTGGACCCTGATGGGACTGTGTTCCGGCTCCGCTTCACAGCCATGGTCTGGTGGGTCATCACTTTCCCTGCGTTTGGCTTCTTCTTCTGCATCATCTGGTCCCTGGTGTTCCACTTTGAGTACACAGTGGCCACTGACTGTGGGGTGAGTGCCAGGCTCCTTAGCACCTGGGTCAGGGCCAGGGTAAGAGATGGTGGTGAGGCAGGATTGGAGAGTAGGAGAGAACTAGAGGGTCAGAGAGGGATAGAGAATTTGTCAGTAGAGACTCATAGTGTCTATAGAGTCACAGTCCTCCAAGAATTGGAATTGGAAGAGGATTATACAAAGTCCAAAGGAGCTGGACGTGGTGGCACATACCTATAATCCCAGTGGCTCAGGAGGCTAAGACAGGAGGATCACAAGTTCAAAGCCTGCCTCAGCAACTTAGCAAGGTCCTAAGCAATTTAGCAAGATTCTGTCTCTAACTTAAAAAAAAGGGCTGGGGATGTGGTTAAGTGCCCCTGAGTTCAAGTTCAATCCCCAGTACAAACAAAAAGGAAAAAAAAAAAGAAAGAAAGAAAGAATGTTTAAATGGAGTTGGGGTCGGGGAGGTTGATATAGGAGAGAAGTGAAGGGGTTGGAGGATTGGCCAGGAGAGATCACGAGAGGGAGAGGTAGCTCAAAAAAGACCAGACTACAAAGGAAGCCAGTAATGAGAAGGTGCAGTGAGGCCCAGAGCCAAAAGTAACAGGTGGCTTAGCCCTACTCTAGGATCCTCAAGCTTTGTTTCTCCACCAGCAGCCCTAGCCCCACAGCCTGTGGGGTACACTCAGGGCTCTGCTAGCTGGAAATCTGGATGGACTTCTTGCTTTCCAGATCAGTTCACTAGATCTTTCCTGAGGGACCAGGGGTAGAAGTTCTATGTCAGGGACATGGAGCTGAAAATGGACTTGCTCTCAGCATCTCATTCCTGCAAGAGACAGTCCTTGGGCACAGTTGAAATATAGTGAGTTGGGATTCTTGCAATAAAAGGGAATGAAGGTTTTCAGGGATCAGAGGAAGCACCTAACCCAGCTTGGATATTGGGAAAGACTGACTTTCTATAGGAGGGGGCATTGTTTGTGGGAGATAGGGGGATGTGAAGAAGGATCTTTGTGAATGCCAGGCTGACAGCTTTGGATTTTATCCAGAGGGCAATGGGGAGCTTTGGAAAGATTTTAAGCAGGAAAAGGGATATGATTAGATTTGTCCTTTAGAAGATCATCTCAGCTCCTGAGTGGAGAACAGATTTAAGGGTAGATACAAGAATAGGGATGCTAGTGTAGTGACTCATACTATTGGAGACCAGAACTAAGATGGAGACAATGAGGTTAGAAAGGAGAGAGGATGGAGTCCAGAGAGGAAAAGGAAATAGGATTGACAGGAATTAAAATTTTTGTTTAGTTGGCAAGGGATGAGGAGGCAGCAAGGCAGGTAGAAAAAGTCATTTATAATTTGGGGAGGACTTTTAATCTGGGACCAAAGAAATGGATCTCTAATGGTAAAAACCTGGGGAATTCTTAGAAACCCCACTTTGTGAGTTTCTGATCTCCTGTCCTGTTATAAAGGGGTTTTCTATTAGGGGCTAGGAATATAGCTCAGTTGGTAGAATGCTTACCTTCCATGCACAAGGCCCTGGGTTCAATCCCCAGTACTGCCAAAAAAATAAAAATAAAAGAAAAAGAAAGAAAGAAAGGAGTTTTCTACCCATTTCTCAGTACTTTTAGCTCTGAGCTCATGGAGAGTTTTGGAGTGAGCTGTGTATCTGGTCTCTGATAGATCTTGCTGTTGCTTATTGCTGGCACAGTTGGTGAGTGGGCAATTTATGTGCTGGGAATGGGGATGGAGGTGGGGTATATATATACATACTTGATTTTGTTTGTGCATATGTGTGTATGCATGCATGTGCCCCTGTGTGTGAGTGCCTATATGGAAGAGACAATCCCTGCTCTTAGGATCTCATCCTAATCTGAGAGGATTTTGTGGAAACAGAACACAGTCACAAGGCTCTAACTTTTCACTTCTCCCCAAGGTCTCCCCCCAATTCTCCATCATCTCTACCCAGTACTTGTTCCCAGCATCAGAAAGGACTCATCACTTTTGAGTGCTTTGAGCTCTTCCAGTCAGGCTTAGGTACTGGTCCTATTCCTCTTAAAGTAGCTGAGATTAGGGAGCAGTCTTCAGAATAAATATTCCAGGAAGAAGAGGCAACACTCATTAACCGAACTGAGGGTAATGGAGAGGCTCAAAAAGCAAGTCAGGAGGGCCTGGGGATATAGTTCAGTTAGTTGAGTGCTTGTTCCACATGTACAAGGCCTTGGGTTCAATCCCCAGCACCACTCACACACACACACACACACACAAAAAAAAAAAAAAAAAAAAGGAGACTTGGAGGTCTCACTGTATCTGGTGTCCTGCCTCTCAACCCATAAACAGGCCTTCCTATGCTGACTGGCCACTTGACTCACAGTGGCCAGTCTTTTCAGTGAAAAGCCTGTACCCACTATGTGCCAGACACTGCAGATGCTTTGCATACCTTACATTTAGAATTCATAATCACTCTGCAGGTTAGTGGTGTTATACCCCGGTTACCAATGAAGAAATTGGAACTCAGAGAGGTGAAGTGCCTTGCTGAAGTTCCCCCAGATAAGCTTGGATACAGACCCATCTTTATGAAGTTCCAAAGCCTCCTGCTGCCTCTGCACTGATTACTTAAGCCATGGCCTTGAGAGCAGTGTCTCCTCTTGGAGAACTCTGTACTAAGCTTCCTGTGACAGAGCTGAACTTGACAGTGCTATACTTAGCTTCCTCCACACATTTTTTGTGGAGGCCGTGAAGTCCCTGACTTGAACCCTTCCTCAGGCCCACCCCTCCCCTGTGAGCTGTCTCTAATTTTGCCTACCTTCCCAATAGTCTGTAGATCCATTCCACTAGAGGAAAGGAATAGTTTTTCAGAGCTCCATCTCTGAAGACTTGTTCCTTCAAGAGGGTCATTCCCTTGCTGGGTCACTGGATTTCTGACACTGTCCTGGCTCTTGTTGAGAGTCTAAAAATGTCATGGAAGCTGGGTGTGGTAGTGCATGCCTGTAATCCCAACAATTTGGGAGGCCAAGGCAGAAGGATTGCAAGTTCGAGGTCAGCCTCAGCTACTTAGTGACACCCTCTCACAAAATAAATAAATAAATAGATAGATAGATAGATAGATAGATAGATAAATAAATAATTTAAAAATGGCTGGGGATATGGCTCAGTGGTTAAATACCCCTGGGTTCAATCCCTGGTACCAAACCAAACCAAACCAAACAACAACAACAAAAGTGCCATGAAAAGTGTGGGCAATGAACTGGTACCTTCCAGTCTTGGAAACGTTTAAAAATGCAGGTGCTCAGGTTTCAAAAACCTGTATTTTCACATGTCTTCCCAATGAGTTGTACTTACTATGTTTGCAAAGCATTGCTGTAGGCCAGAAAGTATTAAGAGATCCTTCTCCCACTCCTGTTTCCATCTCAAGTACTGTTCACTTGTCCCATACTGTTTCACTGCTCATACAAGCAATACCAGTCCTTGAAGCCTCCCCTTTTCTCAGCCAACAATGAGGTTGCATTTCCTTAAGGAAGGAGTTCCAGGTATTGAGAAAGATGGATAGGGAGATGCACAAGAACAGGGTCATTTTCTCAGACTATATCAGGTTAGAAGCATTCACTTTCTTAAACATGATCAGTATAGAGGTACCCTTCTCACCTAGCTCCCTCAGGATCTCACAGCACCCTCTACCACCTGGGCACATTTACCCTGAAGAATGAGTGGAACTGGAAGCAGTGAGATCAACAGCTCAGCTAGGTAGTACTGTTCTAAGGAAGGTCAGAGAGTCTGTGACATCTCTGTCCTCAGGACTAATTCTAGAGTCCTGGATTCCTGGGGTCTTTTCTGAGACACAGCTCTAAGCTATGGGAATAGGAGCATTTGAACCCATCTACATACCTGTCCAAATGTGCAGGTTCCAGTTTGTGGGGAGATAGAATATGCCTGCCCTGCCCTTGCACAAATCTCAGTCTGGCTGGGGAATGAAAACCCAGCACCCTGGGCCCATGACCTGGAAGGGAAGGTCTCTTGGGAGAGCTCTGGGAGCACTTAAAAGAAGACTTCCTGGAAGGGAAGGGGCTGGAGCAGAGCCCGTGGTGACTGTGATAGACTGGGTGGGCAGGACCGGTAGAGGACATGCCCGGACCAGTCACAACTTTCTAGGTGCCCAATTATCTACCCTCGGTGAGCTCAGCCATCGGCGGAGAGGTGCCCCAGCGCTATGTGTGGCGCTTCTGCATTGGCCTACACTCAGCACCCCGCTTCTTGGCGGCCTTCGCCTACTGGAACCACTACCTCAGCTGTGCCTCCCCGTGTCCTGGCTACCGCCTGCTCTGCCGCCTCAACTTTGGCCTCAACGTTGTGGAGAACCTCGCACTACTAGTGCTCACCTATGTCTCCTCCTCTGAGGACTTCAGTGGGTGCTCCCACGGTGGAGGGGTGGAAGAGGGTTTGGGAAAGGGACAGAGCCCACCCCTTCTCACATACAAACCTTCCTGTGGAAGGGTGAGGGCGCTGCTGGCTGTGTGTGCTCCCCATCCTCCTCTCTCCCTCCAGCCGTCCACGAAAATGCTTTCATTGTGTTCATCGCTGCTTCCCTCGGTCACATGCTCCTCACCTGCATTCTCTGGCGGCTGACCAAGAAGCACACAGTAAGTCAGGAGGTACGGTCTACCCTATTGGGGCCCGGAAGAAAATCAAGAACATCTGTCCTCAGGATGCTGGTAATGATGGGGTGGGAACTGGAGTTCTAGAAACCCTGACAGAGGGGTACTGGGTTTGGGGCTGAGGCATGGAAACAAGTTAAGAGTGGCTTATTTGTCAGAATCTAGGATTATGTTTGGGTAGTAAAGGAGATTAGAATAGAAGAAATGGAGACTCCAAATGGGGGTAAAATGAGTAAGTAGCAGACAGGCTCTAGTGGCTTAGGGACAATGTCAGGGTACTGCAGTCTTAGATTCCACCCACCCATACACATGCCATTCTTTGCCACACAAAGTACCTGAGGAATGTTGGGTTGGTGGGTGACTCCATGTAACTTTTATACTCCATCCCTCTGAAATGGAAGGGGCAGGGCATACTACCGCTCCTTGGGCTCATCAGGGATGTGAACATACTTGTCATTCCTGCTGCCCATGCCTCTGCCCCCTTCTATGACCACTGTGGGAACCAAGGGAGGGAAGGCCCAGCCCTTAGGAGCTGGGGCTAAGAGGGGAAGCTACCCACATATACCCAATAAGCTGCAGAGTGATCAGACAGCCCACCCCCTAGGATCGCAAGTCCTACAGCTGGAAACAGCGGCTCTTCATCATCAACTTCGTCTCCTTCTTCTCGGCACTGGCTGTCTACTTTCGACACAACATGTATTGTGAGGCTGGAGGTGAGGCCAGGCTAGGATCCATAGATGGTCATAAGAGACTTTGGGGCAGTTGTGATGTTTTTTGAGAGTGGGCAATAGTCTTGGGTACTGGCTGACTACTATTATTTCTCTGTAGTGGGTTGGTGATTTAAGAGGCCCCTAAAAGGAAGTAACAGGAGGTTCACCAGGCCCTATTTCTTGTGTCCTTACAACAGTATACACCATCTTTGCCATYCTGGAGTACACTGTCGTTCTAACCAACATGGCATTCCACATGACAGCCTGGTGGGACTTCGGGAACAAAGAGCTGCTCATAACCTCTCAACCGGAGGAAAAGCGATTCTAACACCTCTGCTGCTGGGAGAAAGTAGCCCACTGCCTAGAAACAAGAAACCACTCTTGCCTTCCCCATACCCGTGTCCTCCTGGGTCCTTCTGAAATGGGGGAGAGGGAAGAAGGGCAGAAGGGCATAGGACAAGGCTGACCCAAGCATCGCTGGCTTCTCCTCCTCAACCCTCACACAGCCACAGGGGCCTTCAAGTAACGTCAATCTAAACTGACAGGCCCCAAGAAGCTGAGCTGGAAGGAGAGCTCCACCACTTGGTGCTAAAAAAAGTTCTGAGGTTTATGACCACCATCCAATTTTTGGCTTTTACCTAGCCACCTCTCACAGAGGTTAGGGACTGCTGAGCAGTGGCTGCAGCTTCAAAACCATAGCCATTTCTCTCCAGGTCATTCACTTGACTAGTATCTGATAATCTTCCATGCACATTTAGGCCTGTGGCTGTAGTCCCCTGCTGGGTTTGCCCAAGTGTTTTAGTCCTGACTTCACTTCTTTAGTCTGGTGTGGGCCCTAAGGTGTGTATCCTTACCTATCTGAGCCTCAGTGTGTCCATGTGTATGATGTGAGGAGGTGGCAGTGTGTGATCTCCAATGGCTCTGCCAGTGTGGTTCTGACATCATCTGATGGAAGTGGTCTATACCTGAAGGATGACCTGTTCCAGAAAAAGCACCAGCACAGCATGTGTTTCTCTTCCCTTCTGAAATCACTAGCCTATATACCCTTCCTCCTTGCAAAGATATGGGGTAGAGGGATCAAGAGGCACAGTTCCCTACCACAACACGGGCTCCCTGGTGTATAACTCCCTATTACCCCAGATCCTGAGCTCTTCTGGTTGTACATTTTATTTCAAATGAAAATAAATTTTTTTTTCTTTTGCCAATAACCTGGGCTAACCTTTCTACTCTTGAGGTTCATTCTTTGTTTGATAGTAACTGAGGTACAAGATGGGTTCCAGGATGGAGGGAATAAGTCTATGGCAGAATGTTTTTGGGCCTAGAGTCTCCTAAGGCTCCAAAATGGAGGTTTATAGATGGAGGCTCCCAGCATCTGTGGATGGGCCCCAGAGCTTTGTTAGGGAAATTGGGGGGCGGGGTAGGGGACCACAATGAAGCCTATTGTCTCCTGTCCCCTCTTAAAGGAAACAAAAGCCTCCCAGTCTCTGGGGAGCCCTAGTCCATGCCCACCCCCTAATGCCCAGCACACAGGGAGGAGCCAGGGCCACTGGAGACAGGAGGTTTTATTGATGCTGTTGGGGGTAGGAAAGGCCCCCAGGAGCATGGGGGCTGAGTCAGTCAGCAAATGCATAAGGCCTGGGCACATGGGGGCAGGTTAGGACACATTTATCTTCTCAGGATTCTGTGGCTCCTTCCTTGGGGGAAGGAGAAGACATCTTGGGGGTCAATTCCAAGAGCAGCAAGGGCAGAGGTTAGAGATGGCCGACAGCCCCTAACCTGAGAGGAGGCACCACAATAGGCAACAACTTTGTGGAAAGCTGGATGACTGGTCAGTAGCAGAAAATGTGAGAGGTGGAGACACTGGGTTGGCCTCTTGGGAAGGATCAACCTTGGCCCAGGTGAGCTCATGAGAATACCTGGTGTTCTCAAGCAGAGTAGGGTAGGACCCAAAGTCCATTTCCCATGGGCCTCCTTAAGGAAAAAAAGGTATTCAGGGAGCCCCCTGGCAAGGGGTGCCAGAATTAGTCCTTAAGGCACAGCTGGGGGCAGACAAGGCGCCAAGGCACAACTGGTGGGGGGTCAGGGGCAGCCTCCAAGCTGAGGGCCAAGGTCATAAGAGGATGCAGGACCGCCCACGCTTGACTGGCGTGGGGTTCAGCACAGCCCGGACAGCCTCAGCAAACACTTCCTTGACGCCGTCCTGCTGCAGGGCAGAACACTCGAGGTAGCGCACAGCATGGATCTGCTTGGCCAGTGCCTGGCCTTGCTGAGGTGTGATGGGCGCTTGGCCCTGCTCCTTGAGGCGCCGTAGGGTATCAGGCTGAGATCTCAGGTCCTTCTTAGTGCCCACCAGGAGGATGGGCACATCAGGGCAGTGGTGGCACACCTCTGGATGCCACTTGTGCCTCACGTTCTCGTAGGAGGGTGGACTGGCAATGGAGAAACAGATGACAAAGACGTTGGTCTGAGGGTAGGAGAGTGTGCGGAGGCGGTCGTATTCCTCCTGGCCCGCAGTGTCCCACAGGTTCAGGTTCACTGTGCGCCCATCAACTGCACTCTGGGCACTGTAATTGTCGAACACTGTGGGGATGTACTCCTTGGGGAAGGCATTAGTTGTATAGCAGATGAGCAGGCACGTCTTGCCCACAGCCCCATCGCCCACCACCACACACTTGATGCTCTGCATTGTGGATAAAGCTATAGTAGTGGAGGCAGTGCCTCCTGTCTCTTCTGGGCCCCTCTGGATACAGTGACCTATGGAGAAATGAGAGGGACACTTGGTTAAGAAGGCTTCTACCTGTGGGAAGAAGAATGGCATTCTGCTTGGAGGCTGCACCTGCCCCCTTGCACCAGTTTTGCCTTGGCACCTTATCTGTCCTCAGACAAAGGACTCCCTTGTGACCCTTAAAGAAGACCATAGGACTCGGCGTGGTGGCACACTCCTTTAATCCTAGTGCCCAGGAGGCTGAGACAGGAAGATCGCAAGTTCAAAGCCAACCTCCCTAAGCAACTTAGAGAGACCCTGTCTCTAAATAAAACACAAGAAATGTGTTTTGGGCCCTGCCCAGCTCTGCTTGGGAACACCAGGTATTCTCATGTGCTCACCCAGGCCAAGGTGGACCCAATAGGCCAACCAGTGTTCCCCCTGCTCCTACACACAGAAAGCAGCTCCTACTTCCTCAACCTGACATTATCCCCAATTAGAGAGAGAGAGAGAGAGAGAGAGAGATACAAATGAGCAATATCCAGCAACATGTTACAAAAAAGCAATGTAATGTGGTGGGAAACACATCAGCACTGGTATTAGGATAATTTAAGGTCAAATCCTGGTTCTGCTCTTTTCTAGCTGTGACCCTGGACAAACCACTTAGCCCCTCTATGCCTCTTTTTCTTATCCGTAAAGTGGGGATAAAATAATAACAACGTCATTGGTTAATGTGAGTTTTATATATATGTTTGTGTATGTGAGTGTGTGTATTCTCCTCCCAGTACTGGGAATTGAACCCAGGGCCACTCTACCACTAAGCCACATCCCTAGTCCTTTTTATTTTGAAACAGGGACTCGATAAGTTGTTGAAGCTGACCTTGAATTTGTGATATCCCTGCCTCAGCCTCCCAGTTACTGGGATTGCAAGTATGGTGCCATCACATTTGCCTATTTTAGAAATCATAAAGCATTTAGAATAGTACCTGGTCAATAAATATCAGCTATTTTTTATTTTTCCCAAGGCAGCACAAACAAAGGAGGGTACAATACACTAGTACTGCAATGATCTACTACAGAGTCTACTAAATATGGATCCCAACATTTGATCTCTCAGTTCAAAAGTCTCAAAAATCAGACAGTGTGTGTGTGTGTTTGTGTGTGTGTTTGTGTGTGTGTGTGTCTGTCTGTCTACTGTGAAGTAGAAAAGGAACTTTGGTGGTGTGGGGGCTAGAAAAAGGACAAAGGACTTAGTCCCAGTTCTCTTTTAGGCCAGTTTCCCCTGGGACCAGTTGGAAAAGAAATGGTTTGAAAGGCTGCCTCTCTGGTTAACACTGACAGTATTTCCACCTTATTTGCATCAGAATATGTATGTTGCTCAGCCTCAGGACACCTAGGTAGAAATCCTCAGAAAATGGGTCAAGAAAGAAACCAAGGGCCCTCTAGGGCAGTGGAGAGAATCTGAGTGGAAGTCCAGAAACTTAAGTTCTAGCCCTAGGTCTCCTGACTCACTGCAACCAAACATGAGACACTTACCCTTTCTGGGCCTCAGTTTCCCTTTCCTGGAAACAGCTGAAAATGCTTGTGACAAAAGGCAGTAGGAGTAGGTGCTACTACTTGTGCCCACTGGATTATCTGGAGGCCCTGGCGTTTTATAGCAGAACTCCTGGGCCTGTAATCTTCCAGGTCCACATAGAGTAGGAGTGKGTGTGGCCTTTGAGAACTCTCTCCCACAAGCCCAGCAATGGGCTGGCCCAGGCAGGATGGCAAGGAGGGAACTCTGGCCAGCAGTTATAAGCCCCAAGAGACTGAAAGTACAAATGGCTCTCTAGGGATGTAGTTATCAACCAACAATCAGTAAATCAGCCCTCAAAGGAGCAGGGAGGGAGAGGGTAGCTTCCCGGCCAGTGAGGAAACGACTGACACCGGAAATGGATTATGAATGAGGTAGTATCCAAAACAAGGTGTGGTATAAGATACCTAAATCTGACCTCCTCAGTTCATCTGCTGATCTTGACCCTTCATAAAAAGCCCTAACATGGGCTTTATACAGTACAATGTCACTTGGTTCTACTGACAGAGGAAACAAACTCAGAGCAGTTATAGTAACCCAATGTCACACAGTTAGTATGGGAGCCAGGACACAAGCCCAGTTTTGTACTCTAAAAGACTGTTTTCCTCAATGAATCACATAGTCTCCAAGTTACTCATAACCAGCTAACTATGTGACCTTGAGCAAATAAGTGACTTCCCTTCCTGAAGCCTCAGTTTCTTCATCTCTACAATAGGAGTGATAATATTTGACCTCCCAGCCTCAGGAGGATGCATGGAGAATCCTAAGCATGATAATGAATATGCTCTGTAAACTGTAATGTACTGTACACACAGGAGGTAACAGAAACAAAGCCTTTCATCCCAAGAGGCAGGAAGCATTGAGTATGCATAAGTTTGAGTGGTGGCAGCAGCCCAATTTTCCCTATTCACATTTAGTTCAGAACCTCATCCTCTCTCCCAGGACAACCCTTTTCTCAGAAACCCTTTGGCCGGAACTGGATTGAATAAGTTCCCCTAGCCCATTTAAGGAGTGCATATGCTAAAAGGTAGGGTCTAATGTATGCCAAAAAAGAAGGGATGTCAGTGCTGTAGGATGCTAAATCAAGAGTAGCCCTCCTGGGGTTAGGGTTGACTTTAAGTGGCGTTAAAAAAAAAATCTTCATTTAATAAATAAATTGATGTTTGTAGATGTATGTATTAGCTAAACTACAAGGACTTGTTCTGGCTTTTCCAAATTTAATTCAGGTCATGCYTGGTCCTTCATTTTGTCATTCAGAGTTCTTCAAAATCTGAAAGGAGTTTTGGATGCATACAGACCTGGGTTTAAAGCCTAATTCTACCTCTCATCTTATATGACCCTAGACATATAAAGATTTGTTTCTCAAAGCTTCAATTTCTTTATCTTTTAAGTGCAGTAGCAACAGTATAAACCTTATAGGGTTACTATAAGAATTAAGTGCGTTAATATACAATGTGTATACAATGTAGGTAGTTTCCAAGTGTGAGTTCCCAGCTCCTCATTCCCGAGAGGTCTTCAGTGACTTCTGCAGACAAACCAGGATAATTCTTGCCTTTGAACTTTTTAACTTTTTTCCCCCCCTGTTGCCATTCCCTTTCCCTTGCACAAATCTTCCTGACTCCTAAACTGGGCGCAGTGGCACATGCCTGTAATCCCAGCAGTTTGGGAGGCTGAAGCAGGAGGATCATGAGTTCAAAGC